AAATGAATGTAAAATCTTTGCATTTTCTCTAGAATAAAGACAGCTTGGAAATTCTGTCCTCAACCAGCAACTACAGCAGCCTCACAACTGCTCTACCTCCCACTTGCAGCTAACAGGCTTGTAACTAAGAAAAGCTAGAGCACAGCAGTTCACCCTCACCTTGGCCATGCGATCTCTGTTCTTGTGCCATTCTGTCACTAGCCCAAGAGCCAGGGAAAACCATCATACCAAGAGTTTCCCCTTGCTGGCATAGTAGGACAGAACTAACGTTTTCCACATTAACAGCCCTTTTATATCAGCAGAAAAGTGCATAAGGTCTGAAAAACAGAAGCGTAATTAACTCACTCAATGGACAATGTCAGGAGTGGGACTATCCACAGACCGTAATAATGGCAATCCCAGGTTTGGGATCAGGGCTATAAGAACACAGCTGAGATCTAGACAAGCTGTAAATTCATTTTTAGGTGTACATGGGGTGGTGGTATGGAATGTAACTTTAGTCAGACAAGGTCTCCCCAGTAGAAAGATCTTAATCTTTCAAACAACTTCCTGTCTCAATTCTGGCCCTGCTTTGCACTCAACTGCTCCTACCTCCTTCCTGCTTGTCAACCCCTTCCCTTTTAAAAGGGCTGCAGAATCTTGAAGTCCCCCAAGCCTTTGTGGAATGGCAAATGGCTATTCAGGGAAGTTACAGGGAGTCAAGCTGGGTCCTTGTCTCTTTTAATCCTTAAACAAGCTATCCTTGTTTAAGGATTAGAAAACATTTAGGATTTAAGAACACAGTCAGGCTGTGTTCTTCTGGAAATGATTGCCAGTGACCTAATGTGATCAAAGGAAACAGCACCATATCTCTTAATTGCTGTGTTTCTGATCTAGGGCTGAAAAGACCCCAACTTCTTCAGCACAATGTCAAAGATTCTGGCATGGTTCATGTGGCCAGATACTGACTCATGGGTAAATATGCATGAATACCATGCTATGAATTGTGGAGTTTCTCTCAGCCCTGTTTCAGTCAAAGTGGTTATGGCCTACAGAAGTTCCTATAAGGACTGGAAAAGGCATTGTATTTCCAATCGGGTAAAGGACTGAAAATGGTCCCTCCGAGAGTGCCTGTCAACTCATCCAGTCTTCGGGGTAAGTGACCACTTCACAGCTCTCTAGACACATGGGAGACAATGGAGGGGGGCAGCTACAACCCCAAGAGGAAGCAGTGTGAGCTGGGACCATCCCTGGCCCACATGCAATTTCTGAAGACATCTAAGATAAGAAGGGTAGACCAGGAACTTGTTTCTTGGCAGCTGTTGGACAATGGCAGTGTTTGCTTAAAGAAAGAGGACTGGGGTGACTTTTCCAGTGCAGGTACCACTTCTGTACAAGTGCCACATTTCCAAGCATAGATTGAGGTCAATGAATATAGGTGGAGATTCAGTGCCAGAGTCTAGCTTATAATCAAAACCAGCAGCACTGGTAAAGTCACTATGACAGTGTCAAACCGTTTGCTGTGACAAGAGAGATGAACCATGCAGCAAGTACACGGGCAATCTCTACTGTGCTTCTCCACAATAAGCAGAGTATACTAATGCGAAATCCAGTAGTTCTCCTAAGTTTGTGTTTTTTCAGAATCCCTCCCCCCATTGTGAAATTCAGTGTTTGCTTGGAAACACCAGAGGCATTTTAATAGTACTTTTCTGCAAATGAAGGTAGATGAGATAGGAAAAAGAAAGTGGAAACCACACAAATGAGGTAGTTGTAAAACAAACTACTCACCTGGGAGATCTGCCGAATACTTTCTTTAGCCTCTCAGCCAAATCTCTGCAGGAGAATGTTTAAAGCTGGTGTAGTTAACTAGGTATTTACAGATAGGACAATTATGGAGCTAAGGTGCCAAGCTGAGAGTCAGAAGATTTTGTTGTAAATAACCTCTTACATAGAAGTGGGCAAGTCATTTCACTGCATGGTAGTCCTACCCAACTGTAAGAGATGATAGCACTGACGTTTCTTCATGAAACAGAACCTAAAGAACAAATATGCAGTACAAGCCTAATTCAGATTCTGCTAGCAGAGATGGAGAGACTCATGTGAATTTGGTAGGCCAGAATCAAGCCTTAGAAGTTTTAAGCACCTAGAAATAGTCGTCATTGGTTTGACTAGACTGGTAGTGGCCAGGCAGTAATGGTTTCAGCAGTTTTGCTTTATCTGGACATCTCTCAAACCCATAGTCAATCTTGGAAAAAGCATGCAAACTGAAACTTAAGAAATCAACCTAAAATAACATCATTTCATTCCATCTCTAGATCTCATTCCTGAAATTGTTCAGCATGTAGATCTGCTAATTAAAACAATGGGAACTTCTAACTGTGGGCCGATGACAGCGATGTTTTCTTTATTCCCATTACAGGCTAATCACATACTAAGTATCATGTGATTGCTGAGTCCTACCTTCAGAGAATTAGGTGCTGCAGACAGTGGTTTGGAACACAGATACTCTACTTAACATTACTTATGTACATCAGCAATAGATGCAGTCTTTTGTGCTAGTAATTTCTCTGCTTCCAAAATATTTAGCAAAATTGCCATTGTGGATTAGCATTGCTATCCAGAATGTGATCCCTAAGGCATCGCCCTTGCATGGAATGTTCAAGGGACATTAGTAGGACAGTTCAGTGATTTGTCCACGTTTCCAGCTACTCTGTTCTCTGCCTATTGAATAGAAGATAACAAGGTTGTGAATTTTCAACAAGTATAGAGAAAAATTCATCAGTGCTAAAGGACCCTGAGGAGGCTGCAAGAGCAAGTTCCAGCTCAAGTTGCTAGGGAGGTATAATGCAATTTAAGAAATTAAATTAATTCCAAGAAAGGTCAATTTTCATGTCATTCAAGTACAACAGAGCCTGCAAGCTACTTCCAAAAGGATCAATGACTGTTACCAGTGGGCAGCCTGACTCACAACCACTCTGTTCCAAAGTGTTTTGAGCTCCAGAAATGGACCCAGTGCTCCCTCCAACACTAACAGTTCAGTTTGCAAATCCAGGCTCAGGTATAGCAGTAGGAGTCTTGGAGGTTTCAATGCAGAGCTCTGCTGACACAGCTGCCTCCCTCATTTCAGGATTAGAGCCATCAGCTTGTAGCAGTAGAGGCTTATGAAGAAGCTCAATTCTTTGCTCATTCCCATGAGGACAGCAGCTCTCCCCAAACACAGTTAAGTGATTTTTAAATGAGCAGCTCAGTACCTGCAATATCACAATTACTATGGCAGCTATACCAGGTTTTTGTGCAAACAGTGGTATTAAATAGCAGGGAGTATTACAAACAGAAAGGAATTGCAACTCAGTGCAACCTTAAAACTTTAGATTCCTATTGAAATGCACCTACAGCTTTTGCCAGTTTTTTAAATGTATTGAGAGCCCTAATTATTTCATTGCTCACAAAACAAAATGTTCCTACCTCCCTCTTTAGGGAAATAGTTGGCTAATTCTGCATGGAGAAGAAAGGAGGCAGAGGTGAAATCTGCAGAAAAGACTGTTATGAAAAAACAGTTACAGCTAAATAAAAGGCACAGAATGCAATTACTGGGGCATGGATAGATACATAGTACGTGTCATATACATGTGCGTCCGTGTGTGTATGCAAAGCAACAAATATAATTTCAAAAGGCTTTTGCTTACTACTCATCTGTGTTGTCCATCTGAAACCAGAGGATCAGAATCATATTTCCAAACCCTACCTAATGTGTTTTTCTTTTGGGCTTGTTTTACCACTTGGCTTCAAAACCATTGAAAAATAAATTACAGCATCATGTAGCATTCAGAACAAGCTAGTACACGAATCTGGAAGAGGCACTGAAATGAAGTCTATCCATTGAGATTGTCTTTCCTTAAAGACTTGCAGAACCACCCATTGCCTTACAGTGTCTAGGTAATAAGCATTGTGCAACCGAGGTGTAGGATGCTGCCAATACTACTGAGTTAACATATCTCAGCATTTGTGAAACTTCAGAAGGCACATTTTGACTGTTTTTCGCTCCCTTCAACCAAAATACTCATATCGAGCTATGCCATGTTTCAAGTATATTCTCAATACACTAATTTGCACTTTAAAACCCTGTAATAAATCCTACACTAAATAGCACTTTAAATTGTTTATAAACATCAAGCAAGTCACACAGAGAAAACGTACTATTCTCAGTCTATCCTCATGGGAATGTGTGGAGCAAAATGCGCAAATCTGACAACCTATTTTCATTATTTACAGACGACAGTAAATTTTACTCTATCTATTTTCCAAATTCATGGCCTGCTGTAGTGTTTTCTATGTGTAGTGTCCTGTGCTGGCATTGCAAATACTGAGTGTGTTTCAGAAGAGAACATCAGAAAATGGATTGCTTTTTTAAAAATCCATGTTCTGCTGTCATATTTCCATATGTAACGTACTCTGTGTGTCTAAAACGTGTACAGCCATTCTGCACAACTAATACTGGAAACACTATAGAACGATCTGGGTAAATTCTGGGGAGAGGAAGAGCAGGAATTTTGCTGTCAGTAATATTGCACAAGGTATAAATCAGCACAGAGTATACTCAAATACTAAAACACAACTCACAGTCCACTGCCTCTTGAAAGCTCTGAGCGACAGTAGGCTTCATGACAAACAGGTCATTCATGCACCATCCAACATCATGCAAAAACATAATCCGATTTCTAACCGCGGTCTTCTGCTCACAGGACTAGGAACCAATGCACGTGCGTTTCTGAAACTGCCCCTCTATGTGGAAGTACAGGTGGCTGCTGTTACACCTAACGCGATCACGTTTTGTTTCTCCTCCCACTTAACGAACTTTATTTTATTTTGGTGCAGTGCACATGAATGCAGTGTCTAGGACAGATGTGCTATCTTTTATAGTGTCGCTATAGAACTCTTTAGCAGTGAACCCTTAATTTGCAGCTGGAACTCTAATAAACAGTGCATAGTGTTTCAATAGCCTTCTGCTTATATGTTTGAAGATTCGAAACTGAATGGTGAGGTGGCCAAGGCGGCGCTGGCAAACGAAGACTGTCCCCACATAGACCAGGCTATTACGCCTGATGAGGGCCTGCCCTTTACACGCTCTGGCACTCGGGAGAGATATGGACCCTGCTTCCTCTTATCAACCGGGGAATATCCCTGCCCGCCTGATGGAGGAATAAGAAAGGGTATGTAGCTGGGGTCCTGTAACCATGTAGTTAGCAACCGGTTTAAATAAGTAAGAGAAAGGCAGCTGTAGCTGTAGCACGCAATAGTGCGCTTGCTGTAGAGATGCACGTTTGGGCTGGAAACCACCACCTGATGTCTGCATTTGGAGTTTCTAACCTATTCTTTCAGAAAGAAAAGCCTGAGGAGCTGTAACTACCCCATGCAGCTACGCTAGGCAGTCAGTCTTCCACCCCAGCTGGTACAGTAAGCTTTAGTGGAAGCTGCTCTACAATGTCCTTAAATTAGGCCATCCTCCAAGGAGAGGCCAATTAACATTTCATAGCAATGAAGGTTTGCAACTTGGAAAGCTCACAGATCTTACCAGACTGAGCAGCACAGATTTGGAGGTGGCAGACAGAAAAGATAAAACACAAATGCAAAACATGCTCAAGAAATATGAAATTATTATTTGGCTACCTTAACAGAGCACTAAAACAAATTATTTGGATATTCATAACTGTTTAGTTCAACAGAGAAAGAGAAGCATACAAGAACATCTGTTAGCACAGGTGTCATACAATTGGAAAATAATCCACCTAAAATCACTCTCCTTTCATAAATAAATCATTACTAGTTAGTTTCTCAGACTTCTGACAGCTACAGATCTCTTGGAAGTAACTGCATTTTAGTTTGCTAATGGTCAGAATAATCTATTTTGCAACAGAAGTCAAATCAAATGTAAAAAAAAACTTCCCTTCTTAAAATAGGCTATTTTGTTTAAATACTTTAACATGAGGAAACCATACAAACCAAAATTAGAGTTACATATATATGCATCAAAGTTGATAAGGAATGGGAAAATTGGAAAAGAAATCTCTCTCTTCAAATCAGTGTTTATCACTGGTGTACTGTATATAGTACATAATATAGTCAATATTTTAAAACTGCAAAGATTGTATGATGTAACCATACACTGAGTATGGAGTATAGAATTCTCATGTGCCATTGTATGATGGGCAATAGTTATAGTAAATGCCAGTTATAGATAGTGTATGTAATTATAAGTTTAAAGCTTATCATCAACAAAGATATAGTTGGACCACAAGACTTTCATATGAAAGTATATCCTCTAAAATTTACCTTTGTAGCAAAGTGTTTTACTTGATTCTGTATTGGATAAGCATTAGCCGCGTTCATTCAGCCTGGGCGAGTTCAGGTGGTTCCAGTGGATCAGGGGAACACTCCAAATGGCACATCCTTCGGGATGAGGAATGTATGGTTTTCACGATGCACTGCAACTGCCTCTCGTTACTGAATGAAACAGAGGCTGGTTGGCTAAAGAGTAATATACGTCAGCATATTGTTGGCCTGTTTGAAACACGTTGAGAGCATCTTAATTGTTGTTCCAACAAAATTTCATCCATACTTTGTGCAACTCTCTGTACACTTGCTGAGCTGTTTACATGCATGTCTGAAAAAGAAGGGGGGGAGGGAAGGGTGGGGGAGGGAAACCGAATGCATGCAATTTTGTTTTCTTTTTTTTTTTTTTAATGCTGAGAACAAAGGAGTAGTATCTCTACAGCAACACAGTAAATTCGATGGATTTTGCTGCCTTTTCCCCCTCCTGCCCCCAAAGATACCAGAAACCTTAATTGTACCTGAGGTCAAAACGCATGAAGTGGAAGGGTCAGGTATGCGTGAGTGTAATCCCTCCCACTGACTCTCTTTTTTTTTAGGGTACAACCATGTTGCTGCGTGTAGGATCAATTACATAGCCTGACCACCCTTGAGATATGACGATTTTTTTTTAAAACATACATTTTTTAAACTTGTTCTTTAGTTCAATGGCCTTCTGAGTCATGTTGCAAGCGATACTACTCTTGGCATGTCCATGCATGCAGATGCTATTGAACTGGCTACAATGTTGACCTCATTCTTAGTCCATTCTGTCATTGATCCAATGCTGTACTTTGCATTTTTCTTTTAAATGAAGGTTACGAAATGTCACGGAGCCTTAACAGCATAGCTGGCATAAGTGGAAAAGCGATAGGATTATCCTCAGTGTCTGCGCCCTACAGTTCTCCTAGTCCAGTGAGACGTTCTTGGTCTCCCATCCCATCTATTTTGTAGCATGGATCAGTAGCAGAGAATGGTCTAAAAAGCTTTATTTTCAATTAGCCTATGCTATGTTGCATATAATCCAGGTGACTAAGTCTGAAGATGCAATGTCTCACAGTAGCACCTGCTGGGAATGGTGTTACTACTGATGCTAGGTGACAACACTCCTAACTAGCACTCAGATGACAATAGGCAGGCATTTACGTAGTACTGGTGGGCCATACGCGCTGCATGGTATCAGTACAGAGGATGAAGGGTAGATGCACCAGATAAGTTTCCTTCCTGGTGCATCATGCTAGTATATGCTTATTTTGGCTAATGGTGGATCTACTGGCTCTGTATGGAATGGGTTAGGCATTTAGTCGATGCTGAACCATGACAACGATGGAAGATTTTGCTTTTCTCAGGATATTTTTGAGCCATAGGAACCCTGCAGGAGTTTGAGCAAACAAGCACAGTAGGATGAAACTTTGCATGGGCGCCTATTTTAAGCTGAAAGCAATACTCAGACACACTGTAGAGAGGTCTCAGTCTGGCTGACTGCATGGAAAAAAAAATCCTGTTGAAGAAGAATATGGCTGCCTCTGCATGTAGCTATTTCACCTTTTCCTCCTTCCTTTAAAACTAAGATGCCAAGCTTGATGTGAAAAGCGCAGGGAAGAAGCTCAAGTACTGATTGTATTCTTTACATGCAGATCTTTGCAAAGAAAGTCCAGTCATTGCTAAATATATGCCAACAGAGGCAGTCAGAGTGACCTGACAAGGCGAGATGGAGATGAACATTGATGGCTAATAAACATCTGTGTGGAACTGTGCAGGCATAGAAGACCTTCTCATTGGGACAAAGTTAACTCGCTCCATGCAGGTTTTATGGATGATTCTTCGTGGTTTTGGAGTTGTACTAGAGATGCAGGCTTTTTCTACGGCCAAAATGTAACAAAACTGTAGAAGATCCTTTTTTTTTAATCTATTTTTTTGTTCCATAGCATGAATTGCATGAAGACAAAAATTAAAAAAAAAAAAAAAACAAAACAAAACAAACAAAAAACAAGAAACACTGCAAATGTATGATTGAGGAGAAAAAAAAAAAGCAAAGTTATATATTTTCTTTCAAAGCTCTTTACTTTTACATACATTGTTGTAGCCAAAATGTAAAACATCATAAAACTGTACATTTCTTTGCTATGGATTGCTTCTTTTTGTATACAAGATACAGAGTAATGGTTTTAAAAAGTGCAATCAGGCAGTCATCGGTCATATTGACCACGCCTTCACAGTTCATCACACCGACATGGAAATCAAGAACTTTTAATCCAACTACAAGTGTATAAAAATAAGAAAAACTTTTTCCTGTCTGTTTTTGTTGGCATGCTTGTGACACATGGGACCTTCCTTCGGACCTGACAGTAATAGCTGGTCTAGATTTAATTTTCCAGCTCTGGTTATGTTGTATTTTATTGATGTATAGATCCAACGTAAAGACCCTTCATAAATTGTTCATATTAAGTAATCAGTATGAATTTTAAACAAAAGAGGTGTTATTTTAAAACTGGGACTTATAGTACAAAATCAGGAAAATACTCAAGTATAAATGGTCTCAAAGTTTAAGAAACAAGACAACAGCATTGTATGCAATTTAGTACTGAGTAAAATGCATGCACAATGTTATGCAAAACAATTCTAGCATGAAATAAATTTTGTATCATGGTTTCAGTGCCTGCTGTATAGTGTAAAGGGGAATCCTTTCCTGAAGCAATCAGGGGTTTCCAGAGACTTGCTTCTAAAATCTTGAATAAATACAGTGTTCTCAACAGAAACATAGGAGAAAAGCTTGGTATTGCTTTGGTTCTACAATGCTAATTTTGGTTAGTAGATAATAAATGAAGCCTGCAAACACTTGATACAACCGACGTCTGAAGAATTCACACCATTAGTAATTTTATGAGAGAAGACTAAAAAACCCTATAATTATCTAGGTATCTTCCTTTTCCCTCCCCAACAATAATAAAAGTTTGTCTTTTTAGCTGATTAAATGAATTCAGTTTTTCTTACTTCTTTGGGCCCCGTCCTTCACTTGTTCTTCACTGAGCCACAGCAGTCTACCTGATACGAAACTCTGAAAGAAATCCAGGTGTCCAAGGCACACTTTATTTGCCACACAAAACATGCAGCAGTAAGAACCAAGAAACACAATGGGATTAAATTTCATTTTAGATCCTACAAATGACAGCTATGGACTATGTGTCAACAGTGTTAGAGTTGCTTTATCATTTTTGGTAAAGTACTTCTATAAGGAAGGATACATACCTTTAACCCCACATGAGGAACTTCAAAAGAGCTGCCAACCTTCTAGACAAGCTACAGCATCTGCAACTGCTGATGAGAATGGAAATATAAAGGAACAGTATCCTTATGGTCTGGAGGAAGTATAGATTAAACCCCCCAAAACCAGAAGAAACACTCATGGCTCTGGTAAGTGCTAAATTATAAACAAAAAAGCCCAACTGCAGCTGGACCTTGTCTTCACAAAACAGTACTCCAAAAGGGAAATCAAGGAAGACCTCAAGCTGTGTTTTAGGAATAGGAGAAAGGTTAATAATCTGAATTTGTACATAATTAGAAAACTCCTTTGTAGTCCTTGATGTAGCATTACGTACCTGATTTCTACTTCAGTAGACGACCCTTTCTCACATGAACTATTTTTTCTCCCACTGTTTCTATGCTGTTATTCTGAGCTGATAAATGGGCAATTTCTTGCCTCCAGAGGTAAGATCCAGGTTAATCCAGGATCGAAAAGTTACCTAATGAACAACTGTTCCTTTTATAAAGTATTGAGAATCCAGAAATAGATTTATCTGCCCCGTTTTTTATTTAACACTAACTCAAGTGCCCAGAGTAAAGGCTGCTCAAATTCTCCATTACCATAAGGAATACTAAAAATTCAGCCCTGTAAATCCCACATAGGTCTCCCCCTTCCACTGTGCTTTGCATATATATGAGTGTTAGCTAACAGGTTGGGTACATATGTCCTAAGGCAATTGTCATTCTGTGCTACTTTTTACATCTACTAGTCCCACCTCCATTTAGGTACTCCTCTCAGCTTATTCTGACTTGAGATAACCATGTCTTTTGGGTGACTTCTATAAACCCTTCAGAAACGGAACAGCGCTTCCTATGTACTGCCCTTCAGGAGATGCTCTAAACCTTAAGGTCAGTCTGACCCCACAGTTCCCTTTGCACAAC